AGCCGTCACCTTTGCATTTCATCGATTGTTATGCCGATTTATTTTTATTTCTGTTTTATTTATTTATTTATTTTTTGTAAAGTATGCGAGTGTGGGCCAATAGGGAATTATACAAATTTTGTAACTAAAGGTGCAAAATGTTAAAATACACAATACATCGAAATTTGAAGAAAATCGGGAAAATAGTTTTTTATTTATTTACCCCCCTCATCCCCTCATTTTCCCATTTCCCATTACCCCCCCCCCTATTTTTTTATCAGTTGTTAACTTACAAGTTCCACATGAAATGCACTACTGTACCATAAAACATGATTTTGCTGAAGGTTACTATAACCCTTCAGACAAAATTTCTAATTTTTTCGTTTTCGTTTGGATTAATCTCGTGTTTAACTATTTGAGTATCGTTTAAACCAAGTCACTTCCAGAAATAGGGACGGTCAACAAAACAAAAACAAAAGGCTTTTTCGCGCACGCGCACAACACTGGTGGGCAAAAGATCAACAATGGCCGTTGAATCGGCTGTGAGAACGATGTCAACCTTCTACAAATCTCTCGATTAAAAAAAAAAAAAAAAAAAAAAAAAAAAAAAAAAACGTCATGATGAAAAACTTTAGTATTCGAAAGGTACAGAAAGTTTATCTCTCTCTCTCTCTGATGGCTGGTCTGAAAGCCCCAATGGATGGCCCATGTTAGATTTGGTGATATTTATCTCTACCTATCACACACGCCGGGTAGTTACACAGAAGGAGTTGAAAGCCTACAAATCACTCAAAGCTTTCAAGCATTTTTCTTAAATTTTAAAACAAAGCAAGATAATGGAATTTGGTATTCAGCAAAAGAAAAAATCAGGATACAGCTATCTGTATTTGCTGGGCCATACTAATTGTTTGGTTGGCCGACCTTTATACAAACACCTGGTGTTTACACATAAAAAGAACTAAAGGCCTACAAATCTCTGGAAAAGTACAACTAAGCACTCAATACTGCTTATAATAAGACTGGGGTAATTTCTATCTTACCTTCGCCTCTCCGATATCGACGATTTTGGTATCGTTGGATTCCTCTCACTCTATACAATCCAAATATGTAGGTTTTATTGCGCGGAAACCCCCCCGTTAGCGGCAAACTTGGCCCCGATAGCAGGGGCGACGATGTCGGAGCGGCGGACGTAATATAGAAAATTACCCTAACAATATAACCCACAGTGAAAATAACCATGGTTATTCACATGACTTTCCACTGCAGGGGGCTGCGCCCCCTGCGACCTCCCCTGAGGGGGAGCTGCCGCCCCCAACCCCCGCCGAGGACACAAAATATCCTCCACGTATTCACGGCAGGATAGAGCGCACACAACCTAGATGCATCGAAAAAGGCTCAAAACCCGCCGACCCGACAAGGGCAGGCCACCGCCGCTCTTCTGTTCATTGTATACTTTGTTCACCCTGATTATACTACAATCGTATCTGTATACAATGTTGACTTTATCAAGGTTAGTATGCTGATTCAGAGGGAGTGCTATGAGGTAAATGTAATACGTCCGCCGCTCCGAGATCGCCGATAACTGTGTAACGCTCTAGCCTGCCGGGAACAAGGTCTATATAAGTACTTATATAGACCTTGGGGAATACGTGGTGGAGGTTTTGTGTCCTCGGCGGGGGTTGGGGGCGGAAGCCCCCCCCAGGGAGGGGTCGCAGGGGGTACAGCCCCCTGCAGTGGGAAGTCATGTGAATAACCATGGTTATTTTCACTGTGCGTTACATTAATAGTGTTATTTAACCCCACATTATCCCTGGAACCTTCCATGCCCTCCCCTGCCATCGGGGCGCAATAAAACCTACATATTTAGATTGTACAGAGTGAGAGGAATCCAACAATACCAAAATCGTCGATATCGGAGAGGCGAAGGTAATATAGAAAATTACCGGCCTGGTTTTCGAAAAGTTGCTCAATATAGGGGTTTTATTAATATTTTTCGAACGTTATAGCCAAACTTATCTAAAAGGTTAAATTTACATTCCCACGCAATACTCATCATGATACCTTGAAAAGATTTAAGTTGTTGAGAGGGCAGTGTAGCAGTCATTAATTAGATTTACTATATTCATTTTGTTCCCCATTTAATGTCTTACGACCTTTGTTCAGGGAAAGTTTTAAAATCAAATTAACTGAAACTTAAAGTGAAAGAAGATACTCAATAGTAATCAGTCACCCACATCTACCACCGCCTAGGCCTATGCCAAACCACGGGAAATCCCCTAGACAGAGTTATGACGATACTCAATAGTAATCAGTCACCCACATCTACCACCGCCTAGGCCTATGCCAAACCACGATATACCATAATCGTTTAAATGCTAGAATATCTTTATAGAAGAGCTAGCGCACGTACCATTAGCACAAACTCTTACATCACTCCCAGGTGCAGGATGAAAGTTCTTGTGATTGATAGCCAAAGCCTCTCGAGGTCTTTCGGAAAAGAATTAAAACTCAAAGTTGAACCTTTTTTCGGTCCATTCGCACATCCAATACTAATGCAACTCTTTATCAGGTCTAAAAAGGATGCGAATCTTATATAAATCAAGAAAAAATACTGTGTTCGCGACAGACCAATACTTAATAAGTTCGTGGGATTTTGTTGTTTTTGCCCACCACTGCCTCCGATTGATCACGTGACAGCTCTGGTGACGTGACGATGACCGCCCCTTTAGTGTAATTTCTGATGCCGACAAAAATTTTCGGCAGTCATCTTGGAGTGACCGTCACCTCATCGTGAGGTTATGTTGGTGAAGTGCACTTGGAGCAAAGAGAAGTACAGATTTGACATTTTGTGATAATGTGTGGTATAATTTGGTAACTTTGCTTCCAAAAAAACTGTTTTGTGTTGTTTACGAAAATGAATACAGGGAAGGGATTTAGAAAATCGAAAAATGTTCGGAAACATTTATTTCAACCAGATTCCTCTGTATGTCTATAAGTTTGGAAATGAACTTTGCATACATAAGAAAGAAATGCATATTTTTTCTAACATACACCTGTGCATCGGCCATAATGTACGCATCACGATCTAAATTATCTCTTTTCAATGTGTATGGATGCTAGAGAAGTGTTGGTATGTAACAAGCAGTTACATATTCATTTAGCAACGTCATATAGAGGTAACCACTACAATTTTAGAGCTATGGCATGTAAAGTGGTCCCATTAAGATTTGTATTTGGTACTGCAGATATAAGGCATCTTTTCCTGTGGCAATTAGGGTGTCGCGAAACGCTCCGCGACATCTATCACGAGAAGTGTCTCGTGATCGAAGGCGAGACAGGTTTCTAAGCTCCGCCCATTTCTGTGACGTAATGGGAATGATCGCGATTGACGGCTTGCTATTTTATTGTACTGGTTATTTTTCCAACAGGTAAACAGTATTTTAGAATATGATATCCAAGATAGCTTTTGATATCTTATGGTGAGTAGTGCGGTGTTATAGATATCCAATATAAGTATGAATATGCATGAAATATCCAAAGTAGGAGGAATGCATCTGGCAACTCATATAAAGATAACCGTCTGCTCGATTCCTGTCGCGCAAGAGGTGTCGCATTTCCCGTAACCGCTGGAAAAGATGCCTATAGCTTAATATAGTATGTGTGGAGCTTTATTCGAACGATCACTTGCTGCCTATCAAAATGTAAACAAATTCGTAATTATTCCTCTGGCTGTCACTCGAAAACACATATAGCATATTTATCATTCTAGTAAATTCTTGTTCCTCATTAAAAGATAATCATAAACAGTTTCCTACGAGTTTAATGATAAATATAAGTCACATAAAGAAAATCAAATGATTAACAACTCATCAATGCTGTCTTCGATGCCGATTGTATTACGTTTTATTGACTCTTTTGAGCCTGAAAATGAACGTTATACCTTTCTGTCTAATCTTATACCATTTTCTCAAGCGATTCATTATTAAATATTTTAAATCCTTTATATAGTGGCAAAATAAAGAGTTATAAGATTAAATATTAGAAGTATTTGCCATTTTACCTATTCGGCGATGGGTTCGTGCATACGCGTTGACAATCTGAATGGACAGGTTGGCATGCCTGTTTGAACGGAGCTTAGATTTGAAATAACTTAAAATTCGGCAGTAAAATGTATACAAAATTGTAAGAATTGCAGATATGGATGCTACAGAGAAAGCCTGTGTTTTCCTCAAAATCGCTCAGCCTGTCAAAATGGCAATAGTGGTATATATTTAGACCTTCGAGGGTTACGAAGAACATGCGATGCTGTAGCTAATGATTACATCAAGGTTTTCATAGAACGCTTTTGACATAAAGATAACGTGCTACGGCGAATCAAACTACACGTAGATATAGGTATTAAACTGAACGATAAAGATGAAAAAACACCGATTGCTTTTAAGTATCTAACCTAGATTAGGTGTTGATGACAGCGCTTCTAGTCCAGCAATGAAAGAAAGGGGCATAGACAGTAATAGAAATTGACAGACACAGAAAAAGAAAAGGTGTGAGATCACCTGGAGATGAGGTTGATGACAACGCTCCTAGTCCAGCACTGAAAGAGATAGGGGGCGAAGAGAAAAAGAAAAATATTGTGAAATACAGAAAGAAAAGGAAATAGAATGAAACACGTAGAGAAAGGAAAGCGACAGAGAGTGAAACAGAAATGGAAAGAGGTAGACTTAGGGTCTAATACAGAAAAATAAAGAGAATTTGAGAGTTAGAGAGGAGATATGAAGACAGAAAGAAAAAGAAATAGAATGAAACAGAGAAAGGAAAAGCTACAGAGAGTGAAACAAATGGGAAGAGGTAGACTTAAGGTCAAATAGAGAAAAAGAAAGAGAATTTGAGAGTTAGAGAGAGAAGTAGAAAGACAGCAACTGCGAGATGCAGAAAAAAACGGAAGACAACGAAAGATAGAGAGGCGGGCAGATACCAAGATGAGTTAAAGTTCAAGCTTCATATCATTGCTCATAGACAGT